TAGCAGTTAGCCACGCTACCTTAAAAATCTTGTAGATACGCCTATGGCCCAAATTAAAATGTAAACGGTCGCTGATGGTGTCACCTATGGACTGAGCGACAAGCGAAATCCGTGGTTTTGGTTGGCAGTTGGAGTCAAGACTCCGATATGCTTTAGCAGCTTTGCACATCTCTGGTGGCGAATTTGGGACCAATTTGAGAAAGTGAGCGTCTTTTACATATGTTAAATTTTAGTTAATATTGTCATTAAATATTAAAAGCAAATCAAATAAGCGAGAACTAAATAATAATAAATTATATGTCAAACCAAGCCATAATGACAAAACGCTCAAAAAAAAGTCCGAAACGCTGCGCACTAGTCTCAGATTCGCGCCACCCCATTGGTCACACGTATAATGGATCGTTTGCGCGAGCGAATATTTGAAGAACAACACTTGAGAAATCAGCTTGGCTTATTCCAATCAAGCCTTCAGCGTCGTTGGTTTTTGTAGAGCCGAGAGGTCAAACCCTATGTGGACCCCTATTTTCTGTGGAATCAGCTGTAGGACAGATAAGCTTTTTTAATTTCAAATTAAAATAAATACTGTAAATCATTTTAAATCCCTAAATTTTGATACTTGTTTTGATTTACAATCAGTGTAAACTGCTTATACATATAATCTAGTAAACTTACTAGTTTTTTTTTTAATGGGTAAGGGATAATTAAAGTTAATATAGTTGTTTAATAAGGAGGGGAGAATTTTATGCGGTTTTTATAGTCCCTCTGACCCGACTCATTCTATTACATATTTTATATAAATATCTTGATTATATTAATTGGTATTTATTTGCTATTCTACACATATAATCCTATCGTGAGTACTCACACCCCTTGTGTCTGCTAAGTAAGTATCATTTATTGTAACCATAGTTGTTTTCCTTACCTTAATACCTTACCAGTCTATGTTTTACTTTGTATTCTATACTAACTGTTTAGTGTTCAGTTATTTCGCATTTCTCACGGACTTGGTACCACCACTACGTTATTTCAGCTTTTCTTTAACATGTAGGTAAATATTTAAATTGTGTTTACAAAAAATATAAATAGGGTAAGCTATACAGTGATTGGCCACTACTAGTTATTGGCACATTGTCGGTTTTTTACATTATTTTAAGAATATAACGAAATTCACTGACAAATGTTATTTTTTTATGACAGAGGCAACCATGTACAAAATAGTATCTGACTTCATTTTATTGCACTACCTAACCTTAAAAAATTATCGACAGATCTATCAGACGGTGTGCTGTGTATCAACATTTTTTATCAAAAATACTTAAGAATCGTAAAAACCGATAGTATTGGAAAAAAGGATATTTTATAAGGTATGTTTTGTTACATAAAATTTATAGTTTTAAGTTATTTTATTATGTTTAAAATGACTAAATGTAAGTCAATAATTGCGTGAATGTGCTTCGTTTTTATTAAATTATCTATGCCAATCACTGGTTCTAATTTCTTTATATTAGACAGTTATTGGCCACCTGGCCATTCACTGTAAAAATACATTTTATTGATAATATTTTATGTTTAGTGATTGGCACATGGGTACATAGATATTTTTTTTTGTAGATGCCCAAGTAAAAGAGGGTGCACAATACGAAAAAAAATATGCCGAAGAAGATGTTTTGCTTGCGTTGAAGGCCATCGAAAATGGGATGTCACAAAGAAAAGCTTCCCAAATATTTAAAGTACCACGTCAAACACTTCAGTTTAGAAAAAGTGATAAGTTTACTAATAAGATAACTTTGGGACCAAGCAGTATTTTGAATAATAAGGAGGAAGCTATTTTAGAAGAATGGATATTGACAAGTTACAAAAAAGGATTTCCAGTTAGGAAAGTAGATATTCAAGCTTCTGTTAAGGAATTTTTAGATTCAAACCCACGTGAAAATCCATTTCAGGACAATTTTCCTGGAGAAGGCTGGTATCGAGGCTTTCTTAAGCGACATGAAATTTTAACTCACCGAACACCAGAAGCAGTTACTTCGGCTAGTGCAGTTGTTTCAGAAGGAGATGTTCGTAAATGGTTTTCTTTAGTCGAGGAATATTTAAAAAGTAAAAATTTAGATTATATTCTGCAAGACCCCACTAGAATTTTTAATGGAGATGAAACATGTTTTTATCTGTGTCCAAAAAATTTTAAAGTTATTGCGCCTCGTGGAGCACGGAATGTTTATGAGGTAGATTCTGGTCAAGCAAAAATGAATATCACCGTGATGTTTACCTTTTCTGCATCTGGTCAAGTAACTGATCCGATGCTTATTTATCCGTACAAAAGACTTCCGACTTCTATAGTTAATTCAGTGCCTTCTTCTTGGGGAATTGGACACAGTGATAATGGTTGGATGAAAGTTGAGTTATTTTACGAGTATATTGGTAATGTTTTGTATCCATATTTAAAAAAAATGGCACTACTTTTCCAATAATCCTTTTTGTAGATGGCCATTCTACACATCAAACACTAAAGTTGAGTCAACTGTGTACGGAACTACAGATAATTTTAATATCGTTGTATCCCAACGCAACACGGTTAATGCAACCAGCAGATGTTGCTGCATTCAAACCGTTAAAAACAGGTTGGAAAAAAGCAGTGTTAGAATTCAGAAGAAAACATCCCCATGAAATGCTGACTAAAGAAAAATTTGCACCAGTCCTGAAAGGTGTCATAGAAGACTACGCAAAAGCTGAAACTATAAAAAATGGGTTTAGAGCAAGTGGATTATATCCATGGAACGCATCAGGTATAGACTTTACCAAATGTCTGGGAACAAAAAAGGAAACAAACATATATTCAGATACAAACGTAAAGAAAAAAGGTTCACCTAATATTCCGTTTATCTCTTTTAATCAATTTAAGGAAATAGTTGGCGAAGAGAGAATAGCCATATTTAAAAAAATTGATCAGTTTGACGAAGCAAGTCATGATGAGTTTATCTTGTTATATAAATTATATAAAGAATTTGAAAAGAGCAATAGCCATCTTAATACGGAAATTCGTGACGATTCAGAAAACCTAGAAATCAGTACAGTGGACACAGAAATAGAAAATATGGAAATTATTTTCGACGAAAATATACTTTTTAGACTAGATGTAAATGAAGAGGAAAAAAGCGACCAACATTTATCACGTCACAATTATTTCGAAGAAACTGTGGAGACAGGGGAAGAATTACAAAAAAATGTAACACACGAAGGGCATGTAGAAGAATTACTTATACAGGAAAATAAAAAAGAAACTCGGCCTTTACCAGAAGCTATGGAAACAAATGATATATTAGATGAAAATTTAACACAGGAAAAATCTGTAGAAAAATTACCTAATAAGGAAAATAAAGAAGAAACCCAGTCTTTAGAAGAAACTGTGCTAACAAGTGATATATCACAAGAAATTTTAACCCAGGAGGTGCCTTCAGTTGAAGAATCATTTATAGAGGACAATAAAGAAAATACCCAAAATAATAGAAGCATTCGAGATTTCGTTATTTGGCCTAAAACACCAGAAAGAAAAGGAAAAAAGGATTACCAACGATTACCGTTTGTTTTAACTAGTTCAGGATGGAAAAGAATTCAGATGGAGAAATTGGCAAATAAAAAACAAGAACAGAAAAGAAAAGAAACACGTAAAACAGAAAGATTATCCAAGCAAAAAGAAAAAGCTGCAAAAAAAATTGGGAGAAAAAACATCAAAACAAGAAAGCAAAAAAATGATACAGTGAAAGAAAACAAAAATAAAACTAAATCTAAAAGTCCCAAACTGGATACTGACCGCCTAAACAAATATGATAATGCAGCAGGGACAAGCGGATTAAACAATAATACAAAAATACCTCAACGTCACGTACGAAAAGTATTCAGCAGTTCTGGAAGTGATGATGAACCCCAAAAGAATGACTTTGTTTATAATTCAATAGCTGTCGGAAAACTTTGTTTCATTTGTACGAAAAATATTACAAATTCAAACAAAGGTATCCGATGCTACAAGTGCAGCCGAACGTATCATAATTTGTGCATTATAAAAATTAGTCCTTCAGTAGATAAGGATAAAATTTTTATTGTAAGACTGTGTTGCTGTATAAATAAAATCTTTGAAATTTTTTTTTATTATCTAACAATAACATAATAATATCCAAAAATAAATTATTCTACACTAGGTATAGGTACGTACCTATCTACCTATCGTTTTAATAATGTGATTTACCTATGCCAATTACTGGTATTCAAGTGGCCAATAATTGAAAGTTAGTGGCCAATCTTTGGTTATTTTACAAATAACAAATTGTTTCGAAATTACAAATAAACATTGATTTAAATGGAGAAAATATTTTTTAAAATCATTTATCAATAAACTGAAGAAACCAAAAAATAATATTACGGGGTCTGTAAGTGAAATTTTATTAAAAAAAATTGAATTAACTGCATCCACCTTCTTAACTGGCCAATCACTGTATAGTTTTACCCTATAGTTAGTCATTAGTAATTAGCTTGATATTTCATTTCTATAAACCAGTATATCATAGCAATACAAGGTAAATAGTGGCGCCCACATCATACCGTAGCAACTTAGTATTTTACTTATAGTGCCTTCAATACAAGTTAAATTATAACTGTTCTATCTAATTCATGTTTGTATTACAAGGTCAATTTTCCCCCCTTGTTTACATAATTTAATCACCCATATTTAGTCTTTATTCCCAAAGCCAATCCCAAAGTGTAGAAAGCTAGCCAAATTATCCCTTGAAATTGATTGTCCTTCTGACCCTTTAAATCGATACCTCTGAATAAGCCATCCTTACAGTACATTCATAACTTCACTCCAAATTCTCCATTCTTGTAAATTCTTATTCCAAAATTACAATACCCCAGAGTATTGGGCCAGACTTACACATATTTACACCGAATTTATTTAATCAAAAATGGTTATAAAAAAAGTTATTAATTTGACTTTTTATATATAAGGTATGGAAAAGTTCTTTAATATCAAATGCAGAGCTTCCGGAGATGTTCCAAACGCTGTCGTACTTGTTTCAACTGTAAGAGCTTTGAAAATGCATGGAGGTGGTCCTGCAGTCACACCAGGAGCACCTTTGGCGCCACAGTACACTGAAGAAAATTTGGATTTGCTTCGTAAAGGACTTCCTAATATTCTTAAACACGTAAGCAACGCTGTGAAGTATGGAATCCCAGCAGTCGTGGCAATTAATCATCGCGAGTAAGTATATTGTAAAAATTATATTTTTAAGAAAAGACCATGAAAAAAAGATTTTTTCGTGGAGTTGTTTCACCGCTTAAGCATTGTGATTAGATTATGTGACGTCGTTAAGGCCATGCAGCCCTAACGCACTTGGACCTATAGAGATATGTGGTGGATTGTGACCAATGTAATCTTGGTTGATTGAGTTCCCAGGTCCAGAAACTGGCACCCCCATCAAAGTTACTTTGTTGCGTTCCGAAAGATTCATAGGGGATTAATTTCAGTCTCAAACCAACTTTGACTCACAAATAAATGACCGAAGAGCCTTTAAGGCGGCTTGGCTGTCTGATAAAATTAAAACTTTTCCCCTATGTGTGTCTCGGTTGAGAAATTCTGGACACTAATGTCTATATCATTTATTTCTACCTGAAAGATAGTTGGGGAGTTTCCAAGAGATTTGGAGAGCCTGAAATTGGGCCCAGTATCTCCCATCACTGCCCTTTCATTTATCTTAGATTCATCCGTATACCATACAAGTGAACCTACTTGCAGTTTTGATTCAACTTCTTTACCAATTTGGTGGTTTTTTATTAGACCAATAGACTCGGAAGCGGCCTATAGTTATAACGGAGATCTAAGGTGAAACGAAAAAGATGAAGGTACAAATGCTAATGAGAGACGTGAAAGAATGAAGAGGAGACCTATGTCCAAAATTGGACTGCAAGGGCTGTATAGATAGATATATAGATCTCCAAGTTTCATTATTTTTATCTGTCGCAGTTTTAAGACGGTGGTTACTGCCTCCTTCCTTATACAGATTTGCAAGGGAGGAAATTTCAGCTTCGCCTCTAAAGCTGCAGTGGGCATGTTTACATTACCCCTGTAATTACCAGACAAACTAGCCGCTGAACTTTTTGCTATTGTTTGTTGTGTTTGTGTATTAAATACTTCTACCATACCTATAAAAAAGTTGCGAATCAAAGGAGAAGAGAAGACGAGAATCAAATCTATAAAAAAAACAAATTGAAGAATACAATAAATACATAAACACAATAAAATTGAATAAAAACAACTATTTAATAGATAACAATATTTTTCCCTCCTTAGAGATCTCCTCATGAGTGGGGAGAATCTCCGTCAACACTGTTAAACAAGAGAGGTGGAATAAGAGTCTTACAGTTTAGAGATTATGAAAAAGATGGAGACCCTACATGAAATGGGTAGATGACCTAAAAACCATGCCGTTTTTTCATGGACGCACATGTCTCGGAATAAAGAATAATGTAGAGGCCAATAGGAGGTATATGTTCAACATTAGATGCCTTAAGGCTAATAGATAAATAAATAACGTCAATTGATAGTACTAATACAATGATGAAGACGATGAAGCTATAAGTAGATTGACTTCTTTTTTCTAGAACAAAATACTTTTGACGCCATTGGTTTTAGTTTTGTGATTTATTTAATTATATATTTGTTATTAGCGCTAATAACTTCCTAGAACGTAATGATTTCTTGGATATTTCATTATCCAAAATACATAATCTGAAAATAGTTAACGTCCGCTTTATTTTTTTTCCTAGTTTTTTAACATGTGAATCGATTAAAACCAAAAATATATATTTTTATAAAGACTGGTATTAAACTTTCTTTTCATTTTGTTTGTAGAACCGACACTGAAGCTGAACTAGAACTCTTGAGACAGGCATGTAAAAATTCTGGTGCATTCGACGCAGTAGTTTCAAAACACTGGTCACAAGGTGGTGAAGGTGCTATCAATTTGGCTAAGGCTGTCGTGGCTGCTACTTCTCAACCCAGTAATTTCAAGTTTTTGTATGAACTTAACCGACCAATTAAAGAGAAGATTGAAATTATCAGCAGAGAAATGTACGGCGCTGCTGGTGTGTCCTACAGTGAAATCGCAGAAAAGAAAATAAAACAGTACGAGGAACAGGTATGTAAATATGATACTTAGTATACATATTTTAATTAAACTACATATAATTAATTAATTAATTGTTTACGTTTTCTTTCGAATTAATTTTTTTTTCTAAAAACTTCTGTTCTACTCCGGTCGCTTTGCAGACCTTTTTTGGTTGTTGCCAGCCAGCTGTGACGCGGCTGTGTGAACGAGTTGCAAATGTACATGTGTATAGGTATTTGTATTTTGGGTTTGTGCATGTGTTTGAATGTGGAACTAAGATTAATACTATTACAAGAAATATTATTAAACTCAACAGTCTTCTGGGTTGAACCGCACCGATTATCATTGTACTGAGCTTTCGACATCCTCTTTGATGTCTTCTTCAGGGCTTTTGAGGTCTTAGTCTCCTGAGCCGGAGCACTACTACACTGATCACCAATCAATGCATTACTGCAGTCATGTAAAGGCCCGTAACTTGGAAGAAGAGTATACACTAAGCGAGAATTTATTGTTTTTGTTGAAATTAAGCCACAAAATTAAGTCTATTTGATGTTTTAATTTTCATTTCGAAAATCGTTCTCGAAATACCAAAACTTTTCTTTCTCCTTTCTCTGGTTATTGCTCTACTATTATAATGTATTTCCGTCTCAAGATTTTGGATTTACAGCATGTCCATTTATTCATTTTGTTGATTTTGTTAAATAGTATAAAACATTATAAAAACTTCGTCCGATGTAGCAATTATAATTCTTTTTCTTCGTGAGCCTATAACCCACTCTGGGTTTTGGTCTGTTCAATATTTGCACCCCATTCTGATCTGTATTTGGGACTCTTCTCCAATTTCGAACTTCCATAATTATTAGATCATTCTGACACTTTCTACACAACGCTTTCTAGGACAGCTTCGTGGTCTATTTTCTGCAGGCCCCTTTTCAGTGATATTTCTTTGTATTTCTTTCACTGCCCATTTGGAGCAAAAGGCCAAGCAAACTAATTCTATAAGATTGAACAAACTTTACTATATCGGCGTGCTTAGGTAAGTCGTCGAGCACAAAGTTAATGCGGATTATGTAGCCCTATTCTGATCCCGGACAGGCCCAAATATTTCCTGAGCACTTTCCTTTCAAAATTTTCTTCGCCTTTCTTCGCCAGGATCTATTTTTCACAACCATAGGTTACAATAGGTCTTACTACTTGTACACCTGCATCTTTGAATTCTGCCCTAGTAGGTATTTTAGAAGTTTGCAGTTTTTTATTTGCGTAATATGTCCATTTTCCTTTGCTTATTCTGTACTTTATTGTTGCACTCTGCACTTAGGTACTTACTTTCAGTAACCAGGGATCCTAAGTTTGTGAATTCTGCTATCTTTTTAGAGCTGTGTAGACTTATTTGAAGAAGTTGCTATTGTTTTGTCTTGCCCTGACGTAAACATATATTTGGTTTTATTTTGATTTATTCCCAATACAATATCCCGCTTTGCTTTCTCAAGAGCTTAGAAATACAAGTTTAATGCTGTCTCATTACGACTAAGTGAGACAAATATTAATCTACTTCTACATAATATTATTATCAACTGTTTGAATTTTCAGTTCAGTGAAATGAATCGTTAAGGAATAATATAATATTTTTTTATTAAATAATATATATTTTAGGGATATGGAAACCTTCCAATCTGCATGGCAAAAACTCCACTATCCTTAACAGCAGATCCTTCAGTTAAGGGAGCACCGACTGGTTTCATCATTCCAGTGAGAGACATGTCCATATCTGTAGGAGCACAATTCATAATTCCATTTACTGGAGAAGTAAGTTTATGCTTTTAATTACATATTATTAAACTATAGGAGATATCTCAAAAGAGATTTTAGCTTCTATCCTTCTACAAATTTGACACTCCTTCCATTCTTCTTTGTATCGATATCATTCTTTTGAAAATTCATTGAATCTCCTTTTATGTTCATAGTTATGACTTTTATTATGTTTGTTATTTAATTTTTTTTTTCAGATTACTCGTATGCCAGGATTGCCAACAAGGCCAGCCATTTATGACATAGATCTAAACATTGAAACTGGAGAAATTGAAGGACTGTTCTAATAGCACGATTGAATTTGAATATCTCGTCTTTAAAAATTTTTTTTTATATTATTGAAAATGTTATATTGCTCAGGAAAACTTTTTAAATGTTTTATTGAGAATTTTTTTTACCAGGTTTTAAACATTTGCATTTTGTGATTGATATGTATATTAATCATAGTTGTTAATAAAAGTACCTACCTACCTATGTACTTTTAATACCATTACTTAACCCTCTAACAGTCAAAACTCTCAACGTGAAAAATGAATGGCAATTTTTTTTCTAGTATAATTAGCGTGTAAAAATTACCAAAAAAATCATCCAGAGGTGGCTTGCTCGTTTCCAGATATGTCAGGTAGACAAAAGGTAAAACAGTGCCTCAGGGTACGCATGACAGTTTAGGCCGAATATAAGAGCACGTATACAAGACAAGAGTAAGGTAGAATTATCAATAAAAAATTGTTTATTAAGGGATAAAAGAAGAATATAATAATTGGATAAAGATAAATGACAAAAGATGAATGAAATTAATTATTTTTAAGTGTGGCAATCGAAAAAACATTTTTTGGCGTTGGAACATCATAAATGGAGATCGCATTTTGAGCAAATACACTGCGTTTGTGACTTCTTGCACAATTGGCATCATCTCTTTCCACCTTCTTTGCCGAGATTGGGGAATGGTCTTGACCGTCGTAACGCACTTCAGGAAGTGGATGTTTCGACTTTTGACCAACGCTCTAGCTGCCTCGCTGTGGATCTACGGAAGTTGATGGTCGCGATGTTGATGGTTTTGGACGATCAACGGGCCGTTTTTCTTGGTAGGATACCAGAAAAGCGGCAACTGCTTCACAAAGTTGTGGTAATTGCAATTATACCGACCCATAAGTTCGTCGATCAAATCCACGCCGCCATGTGACTATTATTTTCTTATCATTTGGGAACAATCAACTTCCAAATATGCTTTAGCCTTTCGGTCGTAGCGAGCTGCTTTCGCTGAATGTTTGGTTAGATCTTCGTTGAATCTGGCGAATGGTTCAATACCAACGTACGTTGATCCCAATCGCACTGACTTGTTATCTTTCCATAAGATAGTATTGATGTCCACACCAAATGCAGAGCCTATAAATTCACATGAATAGCCGCGTAGCTCATCTTTTATATCTTTATCGATCGGAAGCTTGCAATTTGGAATACGAGAAACTCGTATGGTGACCAAACTATATATTCCTTGAGCTCCCAGTAATACCAACGAAGGCTACTATGTATAAAAATTATCGAAATACAAGATATGATGAACGAAGTCTGGAATTGTTTGTGACAATCGCACAACAACGTTCGATGTGGCTCCAAGATCAGGTGGCCCAGTAGGATCACATTGTCGCCAGCACCGTTATAATCCTTAAACCGATAAGCGAATGCACTCGTATTACATAAAACAAATAGCTTGATACTCCACTTGTGTGGTTTATTTGGCATGTATTGGTGCAACATTTAATAATGTTTTGTTTGGGTGTTGCCATCTGTTCATCGATTCACAATCGAGCAGTCTTTGGAACGGAATCGAATCAAGTGTTTAGAATGTCAACCAATGTTCGAATGCGGAACAACGCATCGTATCTGGGTTCGCATCGTAGCTTTCCAAATTGGGATAATGGTAAACATTCATGTAAAGGAGAATGCCAATATATCTAAAAATATCTTCACTGGTAGTAGTGAATTTTGTGTTGATATCGGCTTGGCGAGCTGCTCGATTTATTTCAAATGCAATCAAGTCAACCAATTCCTTAGTGAAAAAATACCGAAATAGTTCCATCGGTGTCTCGAGCTCTTTTATGGACGATGGTACGCTTGAGTTACCTCGGAAGGCTACTTGATTGACATGCAAAACGCATTGATTGTTTTCGCCATACGATTTTGGAAAACTCATCCGAATTTTTAGCTATTGATTCAATACCTGCGAGAAAGTTATAATACCAGTTTAGGAAACTCATTAATACTTTTATGTCAAAACAATTCATACCTGCATCAGTGAAACCTCCAGCAGAAGGCATAATTGATGGATCGTTTCAGTTTCTTGAAACGCGGTGTTGAAGTTGATGCCACGTCGTATGATCTTTTTCTTCTGCCGTAACAACCTTTTCGTGCGAAACATTCTGTTCAGGAAGTAATGTTGACGAAGCTGATGGAAGTGCTTCGTCGACTGCAGTCAAGTTCAATGAAAAGTCGGCCGCTTGATTGACGAAAGCAGATTCGTCTTCATCTATTTGCCGAACCACCTGTGAAATATACTGCTCATCCTCGGGGGATATTTCATCAAGCACAAAATCTGGATCGTTCACATCATCGTCGCTACTGAAATCAGTTTCCACATCTGATTCGACCGATTCTATAAATGCCCATTATTCCCTTCGCTCATTTCGCTGACCTTTACTTTATTTCGGCTTCGAAAATCCATTTTCTGCCACAATATAACTGTAAACAATGATACAATTAGGCAGATGAACACAATAGAAAGAGGACACTAATCTCCATTTAAACTGCCATAACTGCTCTGAGGTACGCTTTCCTTTTGCTGTTTTTACACAACTTCATAATTTTATTTTTCACTTCCACTTATATCATATAAAAAAAATGAATTCTTACCTTTTCAATGGTATAAATCACGACGAGATCCAATACGAAAAACTATATAATTTTTTTTTTGAAAATTGGACTGTAGCAAGAAATTATTTTGATCTTACATACGAAACTTCACTAAACTGTCCGGCAAACGAACGACGTAAAATGATCTTGCTTATGAACCAAGATAACAATGAAGGTACTGTCTGTAGGCACTGTTAGCGGTTTTGGGAATAAATATTATTGCGTGTAATAACCATTGACTTTTGTCATGCATCTCGAGCCTCTAGGAGGGTAATCTTTTTTGTTCTTTGGAAAAACATTTCATATTTTTTACTGCAATACTATAAAATATCCTAACACATACAAGGCATGGAAAACGAAACAGAGGTAGGGATTTAATGAAGAAAATGGAAGATAATCGACGTTCATTAATTGAACGGAATGGCATTCGTGCTCATCTCGTAAGGCTAGCCACATGCGTAACTCCTCAAAAATCCCAGCGTTTTATATCTAAAATCGTTGCTTTTCTAGTTTGTCTTCTTTGAGGAGATCATTTTAGTGTCATGTATATTTTGCTTTCTTGACTACAGTTGACCATGTTTTCTTTCCTTTGGTTGTTTTTCTTATTCTCGTATTTCTAGTTCTTTTAAATTCTGATTAATTTTACGTTAAGGGTTGTAAACGTGTTGGAACTTAAGTTTGCCACAATAACTGTATACAACTGGAAGAAAGTGTGTAATACATAAATTAATTACACTATTTAACTAATGGGTATCAAGCCACAATTAAAGGTAAAAATACGTTTAATTGACGTTTCAATTTCCACTTCGGAAACACGATCTATTAAAGTACAATATAACAAACGGTACAGACATTTACTTTTTTAATTAAAAAATTAGGAATTCCCTCTGGCCCAGCAGTAAAATTAATTGGACAGCTTCATTTATGCCACTAAAAATATCGATCATGGTAATCTTAGAAGGACTTGTAAAGATGAATATTTGTACTAAAGTTGCTATTTAACGGATGGATGGGCACGTAAAGGTTGTTGATATTTGGTGAATACAAAGTTTAAAGAAGTGCACAAATAAATTAGCTATGTTTTGATCATTTGTTGCAGATTGGACTTGATAAAATTAAGAAGTTAGGTAGGTTATGACTAGATCGCTTATCATTGATGTACTTCATAAATGATTTTGGATCTATACCTTAGGCCAGTATCTATACCTTTAATATAGTTACTAAAGCAAATTTTAGACAGTTATTTACATTCATCTCTTAGGTGGGAAATTCTATTATAGTCATCATCAGAACGATTATTAACATGAATATAGTGAGCATGTTTTTCCAGCGTCACTCTTTTAGGATCAGCAGAGAACCTATAGAAAGAACTTCATAGAATAATTTTGCAGCAACATCAATATTATTAATCATAAATACCTGTAGTCTATGGAAGCAAGGAAGTTGTTAAGCACTATGTAATCGCCATTCCGAAAATCATAAAACAACTCATCATAAACCAACTTATTTCTATTTGTTTCTTTCACATCAAGGTTAAAGTAAGATTCATAACCCACATGATGAATGCTAGGATCTACAAGGGGATCGCTTACTTCTAAGATACCTATTCTGGATCACCTGCAGAGCAATTCACCATCATACCAAATTCATCATTTTCCCATGATGCATAGGGAATATTGTAATAACCAAAAACATAGATATTCTGTGCTGAGTATTAGAGAACAACATTTTACACAGTATGACAATACCAGTTGTATACTTCGCGAGGTGTTTGCGAAGGTATGTAACACGACTGACCAAAAACTGGACTTCATTAAGTTGATATAAGATATATATTTGTTCAACCCAATCTTTACGAATTCTAATGGTTTGTGCTCAACATTGCACTAGTTTTCTGGGATCTATCACATGTGTGGATACTAAAACCATCACATTTAATTTGATCACCCATCAAATATTATGTTTGAGATTACATAAAAGCTATTGTGGACTTTAAATTATTGAAACTTGAGAAAAAATTATGGAAAATAAAGCAGAAAATGTTGTTTATTAAAACTAACCAAGTCATTGTGTTCTTTATAAAAAATATTGAAGAAGATTGACCTGAAGAAAACTAAATTATTTTATTAAAGAAGTGGACACTTTTACTTTTATAGTTTATTTATATTTCTAATAATGTTCAAAAACATTACTCAATTATTGTTACAGCTGTATCTTAGTACTTATTATTATTTTATTTTTAGTTATTGAGCTAAAACCTTAATCCTTTACAGGATCGGTAGGTAAAATAATAGCCATTCACTATGAACCATTCTGTATATAACTAGTCGTTGATGATCTTGAAATGCTTAGAGCAATAACCATCCTAAATAACTTG